TGTGTGTGTGTGTGTGTGTGTGTGTGTGTGTGTGTGTGTGTGTGTGTAAGTGTAATACTGTATAAGCCATCACTAACACATGGCACAACTATTACACATAGTCAGACAACTTCAGGTGTTAGCCCTTGCTTTTCACCTTATTGAGGCAGGATTTCTCTGTTGTTCACTGGGTGTACACCAGGCTAGCTCACCTGTAATCCTCCAGGGACTCTCCCATCTCTGACACCCATCACTATGGACATGCTACAGATGCTCACATTACCACTGTGCCTGCCTTTTACATGGGTTCTGGTGATTCAAACTCAGGTCCTCTCACTTGAATGACAGGTGCTTCATCCGCTGGGCATCTCCCCAGCCCTAGTTTTTTTTTTTTTTTATTCTGTTGATTTTTTTTCAAGCAGGGTTTCTCGGTGTAGCCTTGGCTGTCCTGGACTCACTTTGTAGACCAGCCTGGCCTCAAACTCACAGAGATCTGCCTGCCTTGGCCTCCCCTGGTTCTGGGATTACAGGCGTGTGACACCACACCTGGCTGCCCTAGTTTGTTTTTAAAATGCCATTTCCATCTGGGGTATGAATTATAAGGCCAAGTCTAGATTATTACATGCTAATTGAAAATACTTTATTTTTAATTGTATGTATGTATATTTATCTGAGAGTGTGTTTGTCCATATGAGTGTAGTGCTCTCAGAAGCCAGAACCATTGGATCCTTCTTGGACGTGGAGTTACAGGCAGTTGTGAACTGCCCAACATGGGTACTAGAAACCAAACTCAGATCCTCTGCAAGAGCATCACATGCTGCTAACCACTGAGCATCTCTCCAGATCCAAGTGTTTACGGTGTTAAATGTCACTTAAAACATTCTATCTCAAAAGATTATTAATTCCCAACCTCCATGGACTCCAGATACCTTTCCTGCCTGCCATACAAGTTTCTCAAATCACTTCTAATAAGTACCTGAAATTAGGTTCTTATCTGCAGAACATGATTAGTATATAATGGAATAAACTTTGTTATCCTCTGCCAAAAATTCCTTTTAAAAGTATACCAGTACCAGGTATGGTGGCACATGCTCTCAATGCCAGAACTCAGCAGACATAGGTAGATGGAGCTCTGTGAGTCTGAAGCCAGTCTGGTCTACTATAGCGAGTTACAGGACAGCCAGGGCAAGAGAAAGAGACAGACAGACAGACAGACAGACACACAGAAAGAGACCAAGACAGAGACAGACAAAGACAGACAGAGACAGAGAGGCCTGTCCCAAAACAACAAAAGTACCCTAGTAATTAAGGTTTTTTTTGGATGATGTTTGAGAGACACAAAAACTGCAAAATCTCCTACCTAGCTAGACTTTGTGTGCAGTCAGCATGTTTTGGCAGTGGACTGTGTAAATGGTCCACACCCAGTGTTTGTGTTATAAAATCCCAGCCCAGACCATCAGCCGGCAACATCTTTGACCAACCTGCTCAGTCAGCTCTTATTGTTGATCGTGTAAAGAGTCATCTTAGTAACTATTCAAATTTTAGGCTCCACGTTTTCCTCTTCACTAAATAAAAGCACTTGCTTATAATTGTTTAGTTTTTTTGCTTTCCTGATGTTAGAGAGACCCACCCGATGTGAGGCTCAAAAGAAATTCTAACCAGTTTTCTATATTTAGAAAGTTGGATTGGCAAGTTTATCTTCTTTTGTGAAATGCAATCAAAAGCAGGAAAAAATAAAAGAATTTCCATCCTAAATACTGTAAACCAAACAACTCATCTCAGGTTCAGAGTATGAGACTTTAATGATGGGTATTAAAGCTGTTAGCAGGTAGAGAAAACCCTGGCAGACAGAGAGGCATACCGTAGAGCTAAATTTCTTGTCCAACCCAGTCCTGATGTGTTTTGCATTTTAACATTAATATTTATGGGGTTGCTCTTTTTGACTGAAAATTGTGTTCAGCAGTATTTTCATTTAGATGTTACGTAGACAAGCTAATAGGTGAAAAGGGCATCTCCCCAGGCTCAAAGCACAGCACGCTGTGGAATAGTGCTCAAGTAGAGTTTTTTTTGGTCTCATGTCTACTTCACAATTAAGTTATTGAAACATGTATGATGTTCCCATGGTGAAACTGCTTGGTGTGTTTTGCGAGTTTAATGCATGGTTTCTGAGGCCTTATTTAGAGTTAGCCAGTCCCTCGGGAGCCCACAAGCTGACTGACACACTGACTGTCCTGACCTCCTGTCAGAGAGCATGTCTCACATGCGATTATGCATCACTGGAGAATGTGGCAGTGAAACATGCAGCTGTTGGGGCCTCACGAGCTGCTGTATGTGCAAGAATCACATCTAGCTCAATGTTTGTTGAAGGGATGGAGCGGTTGGTGTGTGCTTCTTGAGGAATCAGGGGAATGTCGATAAGTCTAAGTTTTTAGAAAATTTATCTTGAGTCCTGTATAGAAATGGTTGCTCAAGAAGGAAGCTAAAAGATTGGAAATCGTATATTCTTTAAATGCTTTCTTAAAGTCAAAGTCGGGTTCCCTACCGCTGTAATCTCAATTTCCTTGCTTTTAACTGTGAGGCAATCATTAATAGAAGGAGGAAACAAATAGAATGATGGATATTAAAGGTGCACTTACACATTTTAGCATAAATTTGCCATTGAGTAAGATAGCATTATTAGTAGGCTTTCCACATTAAGTGACATAAACAGGAAGAGGAAATTGAGGTTAATAAAACCTTAGGTAAATAACTATTGAAGTGACCCTAATTCCCTCACAGACTGTAGAAGAGATTAACTTTTGGGTTTTTTATTCTAAGGAATCAGGATACTAATAAATCACTATGCCTACAAGAAAAGCGCCCTCTATTTTTATTCTTTATAAACACTAGATATTCTTTGTTTTTCCATACAAATTAAAGAAGTACACTGAGTTTTATTGACTGACAAATATATCTACATTATAGCACCCCTATGAAGTGTCTTTGAAATTTGTGGGCTTTTTTATAGAAATATGTCAAAATTGCATATCCAACACGTTCCCCCAAGATTAAAGTCATTTGTTAATTTCCTGCAGAATGACCGAAAGGTTAACACCTCTATCTTTGCTCCTAGGTGTCATTCGTCATGTTGGAGATGCCCTAAAGGACCATGCATCTAAGTCTCGAGGGAAGATATGTACCATAGGTATTGCCCCCTGGGGGATTGTGGAAAACCAGGAGGACCTGATTGGAAGAGATGTAAGTCCTGGGGTTGGCTGTTTTGTGACTTCTCCTAGCATCTGTAGTATGTATGGGATAATGCTTTTGGGCCCATCTCTCAAAGTCAAAGGTTAACTAAATGAAAGGTTAACTAAATGGTGGCTTGCTTTCCAGGCTCTATTTAAATAAACTCCCTGTCAATTCTCCCAACCAGGGTACTAGCAGTATCTCAGACTGACTGCGACCTAAATGCCTAGATGTTCACTAAAGGATGAGTATTGCAAAATAGAAAATCCCAATCTGCCATTTGATCTCTGAGCCCAAGATATCAGTGGATTTTGGACAGTGCAGTGAATAGCTGCCAAGACTAATTTTGAGGAATAAACAATCAAGGGAGTGAATAAACTCAATAATAACTATGACACTGATAAACTATATTTAAGAAGACATTAAAATATAGAGGCTTCTCATGATATAGATCAGAATAATTAATATTCCTTAAATTTCCCTTCCACTCAATGTAATCCCTGTTAAAGTGGCATTCTTCAGAGAACTAGAAATAATGACTGTACAGTCCATATGAAACCTCAGATAGTCAAAAGAATCCTTGGGCGATAAGAGCTGGAAATGCCACAATATCTCACTTCCAGATCTACTGTGGAGCAGCAGTGTCCTAGACAGCATGGTATCGGCATAGAAAGAGACAAGTGACCCAAAAAAACTAACAGAGATGCCATGTATCCACATGTAACCAGTGCTTAACAGGCACAGAAAAGGCTCATTGTAGTAATGGTCCTGAAAAGATTTCATGTTCCCAAATGATGCAAATTAGACCCTTATCTCTCACCCTGTACTTGAAATGGAACCAGCTGGAAAGAAAGCTGGAGAAAAATGGGGAGTAGTTGAGAAAGGAGAAACTATAATCAGCATATATTATGTGAGAAGAGAATCTATTTCCAATGAAAAGAAAAAAATTATTGAAATTGAAGAGACACAGAGACATATGAACACAGAGAGATCAAAGACTTAAATATAAGTTCTAAAGCTACTAGATTTGAAAAAGAGGAAGCCATTCAAGGCACCTGTAGGTGCAGCGGTTTTTCAGCAGAGGACCTATAATGGCAGGAAACAAAAGCAAAACTTCAGCAACTGTGACAAAATCAAACTCATGTCTCCACAGTCCAAGAAGCAACAGGATGAAGAGGCAACCTACAGAATAAAGAGGAAATATTTGCCATTACTTGTCTGACAAAGGGGTAATAATAGCTAGAATACATAGAAACAAACAAACCAACAAAAACCTTAAATCTAACTTTATAAAGAAGATAATCTACTTATTTAACATATTGAAACACTAATAGCATTAGCCATTAGGAAAATGTAAATCCCAACTATAATAAAAATAGGTATTATAAAACAAACAATTTCTGGCAAAGATATGCAGAAATGAAAACTCATATACTGGTGATGTGAATATAAATTATTCTAGCCATTAGGTAGAAAAATATAGATGTTCCTCAACACAGAAATAGCTATACCAGAGGATCTAGCCATTCCATTTCTGGGTATATATCCAGAGAAAGGAAAATCAGCATCCCAAAGCCTTCAGCACTATTTACAACACATAGTGAATTAGCCTAGATGCCCAGGAACAAATGATTAAAATATGTGTGTGTGTATAAGCTCTCTATATACACATATATATAAGATATGTATGTATATATGTGTGTAATGAACTATTACCTGGTTATATAGAAAGAAATCCTGTCATTTATAATAAAATAGAATTGGTAACATCAGATAAAGTAAGAAAGACAAAGGAAAACAAGCACACCATGGTCTTTCTTTTATGTAGAAGCTTTAAAAGTGTTGATATAAAAACTTAGAAGCTGGGCCTTTAGTCTCAGCACTCAGGGAGACAGAGGCAGGTGCATCTCTGTGAGTTCAAGGCCAGCCTGGCCTATAAAGGAGTACAGGACAGCCAAGGCTACACAAAGAAACCCTGCTTCAAAAACCACCCATCCACACATACACACACAGATATACATACATATATATATGTATATGTACATATACATATATATATATATGTATATCACTAGAAATCAGGAAGAATGAATGTTTGAAAAGGTTTGATCAGTCTATGCTATGTGCACATACAGAAATTCATGCTGAACACCACTAGTAAGTATAAGTAACTCACATGAGCCAATTATATTTTTTTGTGATTTTATTTTTTTCCCAATCCTGCCCTCCCTCCCTCGTCTCCTTCCATTCTCCTTCCCCAGTCCACTGATAGTGAAGGACCTCCTCTCCTTCCATCTGAACCTAGCCTATCAGGTCTCATCAGGACTGTCTTTCATAGTCTTCCTCTGTGGCCTGATCAGGCTGCTCCCTCATCAGGGGGAGGTGATCAAAGAGCCAGCCACTGAGTTCATGTCAGTGACAGCTCCTGCTCCCTTTCCTAAGGAGCCCATTTTGGAGACTGAGCCAATTACATTTTTAAAAAGTCAAAATTTAATTTTTCAATGGAAATCAAAATGACAGGTTACACAATTCACTGAAAAAAATAAGTGTAGTCTAGTTTTTCAATAAATCTGTGACCAAGGTTTATTGAATTTTGACCACTCTGCAGCTTTGTTCTCCCAAAGCTGATGAGCTGGAGTATGCATAAAATTTAGAAGGCTCTTTTGTTATAATAGTGTTTGTTTTTCAAGTTTTACATTAGAATAAAAGTGCTGTTCTTACTAAAAGACAAGGCCAGACATGGTGGTCCATGGCTGGTCCTGGAGAATCTCAAATTTGAGAATAGCCTGAATAGCATGTAGCAGAGGCAGGTTTCTCAAAACTCAACCCAGATCCTAAATCTTAATAAATGTTCCATAATGAAGATGAATTAGACATGATAGAATCTAGACTCCAAGAGAAAATATAGAAAATAGAATGATAAATCTTTATCCACTTTCCACTTTATGACAGTTTCATCTCTAATCATATTCCAAGGTCTGTGGCCATAGGGGTCCTTTTCACTAGGACCTGACCTGATGAAAGACACTGAGGATCTCTCTGGGGTCCCTCTTTACAGGAATTTAATCCAAGTAGACTCCATACTTGAGGATTCAACCTTTAAGACATAATTAACTCCTAGAGACCTCACCTCCTAACACAACCACCTTGTGTGTTAGGATGTCAATGTTAGAATTGGGGTAGGATGGGACATAAAATTTTAGTTCATGAAATCAATATAAAAGTGCTAGAACATATAATTTGGTTTACTTTCTTATTAAACCTTAATGTAATACTTTGCATGAGAACACAAGGCATTGATAGGACATTTAAACATACCATGTTATTATTTTATCATCTTTATGTACATTATGAAAATGGTTTCTCTGTTGCCACTTCTCTAAGTACAGCTATGATGATACTAATTGTAATTTACTGAGTGTTCCTTGTAATGAAATAGCTTTTCAGGAGTTAAAATAAATGAGCCACAAGCTAGAACCAAAAATCTAACTCTTTCCAGAAATCGCTCTTGTATATTTATCATATCAAGGGACCTGAAAAATACTCAAATGTTTTGGCTTTTATTTGGGATACTGGTAAATATCTTAACACCTACAAATCAAACTTGAAATGTACTCAGTAGATAACTAAAGCTCTTCATTGTCCTGAAAAAAAAAAAAAAAAAACTTGGCTTAGATAAATAATTATAAAAGTACCAGCAGTGTGAAGTCAGGAAAGAACTTCTAGCAAATTCTAATTTATATTCCTTCCTTTTAAAAAACAACTTAGCCAAAATTATAAGATTTGACTGAAATTTTTCTGAAATTTTGCCAAACCAGATTAACTAGATATATACCAAATTAAAAATTCATAATCAGAAACAAAGGTATGTTTTCATGCTAACTTAAGCACAAACATTATGTTTGGCAGATTTTTCTGACATATCTAATTACTATCTAACTATCTTTCAAATCAATGTTGTACCTCAATAAATTACAAGTTTATCTCCTGGAGTTTTTGTAGCTGTGGGAAATTCTTAAAAAAGTGTCCATTTAATGCAATCTTTGCTTTTTAAGCCAAGAACCATCAAGGTCAGTAATAACAATCATTGCTAACTTAGATGTATTCAGTAATTCAGCACATTTGTCAGTTATTTTGAGGGAAAGCCAAATATGACTTCATACTGCAAACTCAAAAAACGATAACAGTGTCCCTAGTATGAGGCTTGCTGGATTTCTATGACTGATTTAAATAAGATGTACCCAGAGGATGTGTGAAGAAAAGGTTGGAGGCAAGGAAACCTCCTGCATCTGTTATACAGGATAAAGCCAATGCTTGCTGAGCCTGGACCACACCAAGTCTGGGAAAACTGCCAATGTGGCAGTTATGGTCACTTCCATCAGAAATGCAGTTTTGGTGAAACTAATAATGAGTTTAGACTTTGGCATGTTCACTTTGCAGTTTCTTTGAGATATTTCCAGGAGGATTTCAGGGAAACTACTCCGTATATAAGGAAGAAGCATAAACATTCCCCTACAAGCTTAGGTTTGGAAGTCTTCTCAGATAGATGGCAAGCAGGCCACCATGGTGGTTGGCATCAGCATGGGAAGGTGGACCATGAGGAAAAGAAGGCTGAGGTCCTGACAGTCCACACAATTTAATGGCCAAGCAGAGGAAAAAGAGCCAACAACAGTATGTATAAATGGCTGAGACGCAGAACTGAACAGTTATGGGGAAGACTGTGCTTTGGAAAGGCAGAGTAGAGGGGGCCAAAGTGCTGCTGAAAGACTTGCGATGGTGGGGGCTTAGCCATCACTGCACTATCGGTCAAAACTGCTTTCGTGGTGCAACAAAAGGGCAAGCATAATCACAAGAAGAAAAGCAGCATCAAGGGCACGAAGGAGAATCAGGCCAGCCACAGGAGTGACCTTGTGGGGAACTAAAGCAGCATAGATGGAACTGATGTGTCAGAGGACAGTGAGAAGAGACAGGGTAGTCTACTGGAGTGATAGTGTGGGGGATTAAAGCAATAT